GATCTTAGATGAGCTCTGATACTATATTGAATTAGGAGAGACTAAGAGACATTTAGGTTAAACCGTGTGTTATGAAAGCACTACGGAGACTTTATTATATAGAGAGATTACAACTAATTACACTATATAATCGATGTGAAACTATTCTACATACAAATATTCTTAATATTATATATTTACAAATATCAACAATTATAAATATATAATGATTGATCATGCTGCTCTTTATGGAGACAATGGGTGTGAAGCTTACATATTTGTTTTATGTTGCTTGGTCTTATAAAACGTTAAAGCTTAAGCTATATAAAAAATGTGTCTGATCTTGGCTATGTTTTGGTTGCTTGAAAAGAAAAGTAGCAAAATATTACCTAATTATATGGTAATTGTCGTTTTAGCTAAGCTGTCGTTGCCTGTCTTCTGTTAATTTGGATTTCTTGGTAATTCTGTATGTCATCTAAGTGGTTTATCGTTTGATACATTCTCAATTCTGTAGCAGGATTGATGGAAGTTTCTTATCTAAATGGGAGTGTAGAACCTACACCAGTGACGAGTATGATGAAATGCAGCGAATTCTATTTGATCATCTTTGCCCGCTGCTCATTATTAAAATGCTTCCCATGAAAACTTTTGATGATCTCAATTCGTCTGTTATGTATGGACATTTCAGTCAAAATAAAATGCATGGTAAGTATTCATGCTTTCATATCTCCTTTTTGATGTGTGAATTAAACGATCAAGGCGTTATTCCCGTTCCTACAAAATTATTAATTTAGAATCAATAGCTGAATTTTACTTGCTGAGATTCTTTGACTTTAATTGTAGTTATTTTTAATCTTTCCAAATTTGGATGAAAAACTTGCCAACTTTCTTATTCTTTTATGTAATCAAAATGTTGTAATAACTTTCTTGCGTTCTGAAATCTGAAACGTTGAGTCGAGTCAATTTTTACTTTACATTTGATGTTCCACTAATTTGTTTAGATATGCCCCTGAGTGGACCTAGACTTGATAGCCTTGTAGTTGTAAGAAAGAGATTGAATACTCGATTTGGTCATTGAAATTGTTAGACTGTATTAACCTAGTCTCTCACTATCAATATTCCAAAATGATCCCTATAGCTACAAAAGGTTAACAAGATTTGTCCCTCTGTTGGTATTTGCAGGGATGGACTATAATGACTTTAATTTTGTAATGGTTGGGATGCATTTGAAACTAAGTGAATAATGTCAGATACATTTGATAATAGATCCTGACAAACGGATGGCCTTGATTAACATTTTGCAAATTTCTGGGTCCAAATTGGGTATTTAGTCCACTAGGGACTGTATAGACACTTTGAAATTTAGTTATTTCTTTCTTCTCGAAGTTCACAAATACATATGATTAATCAACTCCAGGTTGATTAGTATCGTGCTTAAACTACTGTAATTGTGTGTGCATTCTGCCCGTAGGTTGCTTTTTTCTTTTAATACGTCATAATCTTCTTACATGGTTGGTTTAGGCAGCAGGAGCCCAGAGCTTGATTATGAGTGTATTGCTTCTTTCCTTCTTAGCAGGTTGGTATTTGAACAATGATTATAGCCTTTATCTTCTTCCATCATTATAAACGACTGGTGCATGACGTGCTAATAATTTGTTTCAGGGCACTTTGTGAGTTTGAATTTGAAGATGTTCGGAAACTTTCTGCTGAGTTGTGTGGACGCATTCATCCACAAGTAATGAATAATTTTATTTAAGTTTGAATGTTTTAGGATGTCATAAGTATTTTACTCCTAAAGCGTAGAAGAACCTTTGTTTTATTTACATTGTAATCTGAGAATTTTTTACATTGTACAACATGATTGAAAACTTGGCAAGCAATTTATCATGCATCTGAGATAAACTTTTGCTTTGATGGAGTTCTTATTTCTGTCAGTTTAGATAATTGGTTGTGACGATTTTTACAGCGTTAAATGTACAAATCCTTAGATTGCACTAGGTTATCTTTTTGGCAGATATCTATCCGGAACAAATCCTGTTTTGGCACTGCAGGAACCTTTATTATTTGATTAGCAGTTTTTAGATATTACTTTAACCTTCCCATGCTGCTGATTCTTTAGGTCTTATTCCCAGTTATTTGCTCCAAATTAGAGCTGTTTGTTGATTCTAAAAATGTACTGAAGATAAAGGCCTGTTTATTTTCAATCTGCACATCCCTGATGGTAATTGTTTTCCTTCCATCAATATTTAGTATGTCATGTTCGCTTTTTAAATGTTTTAGCATATTATCCTTTTCAAGCTAGTTTGCAGTGAAGTGGCTTTTTTGGATTTATAGGTCAGAGGTTGGGAGTCACTTGCGCATCCTTTGATGCATGAAATTAAAAGGATGGTTGAAACAGTGCTGTTATGGCCTTGTCTGAATGCTGATTCAGGTCTGGATCTATTTAGTTTCTTAATTCCTTTCAAATTTATATGAACTAAAACTAATTTTGACAGACACACCCCCTTTTTCTTTTTCAGTTTCTAAAGTACAACATGGATGCATTGATTGTCTAGCACTGATGATATGTGTTGAACTACAAGCTGAGGAATCTATCACAGAGTCCATGTCAGATAGAATTAGGGTTATTGGAAAGAAAGGTATCATTGAGTTGTATGAAATGTGGATTTTAGTATATAATTGTAGTTGAATGTGGCTTCTTCGTAAACCTGTTGAGTCTGCAGCTGCAGGAGATTCCATTGTCACCTATGTGATGAATCAGTTCTTTAACGATAGGAAGGAACAGACTTCAAGTCCTGATTTTGGAGAGGAAAACTGTGAATCTGTGGCTGCACTTCCTCTCTCTTTTCGCTTGTGCATGGGTAATGTTCTCATCAGTACTTGCCAGAAGATTTCAGAATCTTGCAAGAAGCATTTTGCAGCCCAAGTTCTTCCTTTTCTCATCGATTCTCTTAAGGTACCACTGTAAATTTAGTTCTTGATTACCTGAAAGTATGGTTTTTTTAGAGTTAATAGTTCTCGACACTTTACCATCACTCTTGTTGGGTTATTATGACACTGGTATTTTGTCAACAGTTTGAATTAAAGTCGGAGATTAGAGCAGCATGCATCCAGGTCCTATTTTCAGCTGTCTATCATCTACGATCTGCAGTTCTTCCTTTTGTATACGACCTTCTCAAAATCTCACTAAAAGCTCTGAGAAAGGAGTCAGGGAAGGTAAATTTCTCTGTTCTACAGTAATACCATGGAAAGTAATTTTATTGAGATAAATTTGTTTAGTAAATCCTTCCGCATGTACGGTACAAACGTATTTAATGTATTGGTGTATTATTAAACGTTCAACAGGAGAGGATGGCTGGTGCAAAGCTTATAGCTTCTCTTATGGCTAGCGAAGATGTGATTTTGGAAAACATATCAGTTGGATTATTAGAAGCTAGGTCTGTACTGTCAACTGTATCTTCTTCGGATCCTTCGCCTGAGTTAAGACAGCTATGTTGCAAGTTGCTAGCATGCATATCTTCTCCTTGAGTTTCGACAACATTTTTTATTTTATTTTGTAAATGTTGTATCACTCTGCAATTATTTGTTAGTTGTACATAATTCACTTTTCTATATGCAGATAAAGTAGTTGAGATTATTGACTTATAGACTAGATTAAAACTAAGGTTATGTGGATAGATAAATGGATTTGTCAGAAGGAATGAAAATATCTGAATTTTAAGTCACTTCAAAAATAGCCTTAAATTTAATAACACAAAACTGTCATTGTTCATATAAATTTATGAAAAATAACCTTTTTTTATCCTTTATTATAAAATCTTCACCCGATTTTTCTTAGAAACATTTATAGATATGTGATCAATTTCAATGAAAAATTAAAGATTAAATCAGGGGTTTCTTTCATTAATACTACATTGCACATAATTTTGATGTTTTCAAATATGAACTTTTCGTATTTTTTTTCTTCTTAATGTGTGGATCAAGTGGGAATTCAAGTTGTGTCGTTTATCAACGAAAGGAAGTATAAAATTAACTAATCATAAATTTAATGAAATTGTAAATTAATAAAATGAACTGTTTTAATTTGAAAATTAATTAACATGATTTTGAACTCTTGATTATGCATAAATTCAACATAAAAATTAAAAAGAATTTTATATGAATAAAGAATATAGATGTGACAATTAAAAAGAAGTTTAAAGAATAAAGAATATTAACAATTTATTTACATAATACACAAATATAAATAAACATTACTAGTTACTTATGTTAATTTAATTCGATTAACACATAATAGTTGAATTATTTTACTATTACAAAAATAAATGTTTGTAAGGGCTTTTAACAGTATAATTTGAATTTGATTCCACTTTTAAAATCTTTGTAATAACTCTCAAATGTTGGAATATAAATTTCAATACAAAAATCAAAAGTAATCATGTTTTTGATATATTTTAAGAAGTTTGCAATTTCAAATCGTTATCACTGTCTTTTAATCTAAAATCCTCTCCGCTAATGTTATAATATTTACCTCTTTTACATTTTATTTATTTATTATTATAGTTAAATTAATTCATTCCATATTAAAAATTCAATAAATAATTAATTAATTCATGTTAAAAAATATTTAATTAATAAATAACAAATTTAATTTAATCCACGTATAAAAAAGAATTAAATTAATATAGTTAAGTTAACTAACTTCTAATTATAAATTAAATTAATTAATCATTTACTGAACTGAATTAATAACATTTTTATAGATTTCTATAGATGATTAATGTGTTGGAGTATAAAAAAAATTCTGTAAACTTTTATCAAGTGGAATAAGAAAAGTAAAAGGGATGGATGGAGGGTATTTTGTCCTTGCATGTGAGTACTAAATTGCCCGGTCTCCCCTCCTCCACGAGACAAGGATTGAGAAAACAAAGTGATCCCTCACTATCAACATAAATCCAATCCATAACATCTTAACCATAACCTCTCTTTCTCTCTTGTCACAAAAACACAAAATTATAATTATGCTTCAACTTATATTTGCTGTGGCTTTTTCTGCTGTTCCTCTCACCTTATACATTCCACCAATACGCAGCTTCAATCTCTTTGTTCATACCATCCAACTCTTCCTAAGAGACTCCTCTCTCTTCTCCGATCGGACTTTTCCTCGTATCAGACTCGCGCTATCTCGTATCTTCAATTCCATTTTTCATATATCATGGTAGCTTATTAATCTAGTACATGTATTATGTAGATCCTTTTCTTTTTCTTTCTTTTTTACTTTTTAGGATCAATTCTTTAAAAAAAATGAAACTTTTAAGGTTATCTTCTGTTACTATTGCCATGATGTATATGGTTATCGTTGATCCATGAATAAGAATCCTTAACTTGTTGTTTTTTTATTTTGTTAATATTGTCTTTGAAGAATGTAACTATGTTTTTCTTTTGTTGCAAATTAATCTTTCTATAATTGAGATACTGTTTCTTCTATTTAGAATTTTTTAATTTTATGTTGGATTATGTAATATTGGTTAATCGGATGCTAGAGTACTATTGCGATGAGATCCAATAAAATTGTCAAAGTTTAAGTTAGCTTTTTACGGCAAATTTAAGAAGGAAAAAGGAGAATGGATTCTCTTTAACGTGTCACGTAATAAGTAAATTGTAATCTATTATCATTTAAATGCATTTCATTTAGACTTGTTATGTGTTTCTCTTCTTCTTTTAAATGGTGAGATTACGATTTACTTTTTTCACATATAAAAAATACACATGAAAGAATTGATTATCAAAAAGTGGAAATTAGGTTAATTAGACACTTAGGATGCTCCTTCATTTTAAGTGACGCTAATGAAGTGGTTAAATTTATTGGATTGAGGAGGAGAGATCGAAAGTAGAAGATTGTTAGGGTCACTAGGAGAGGTGGTAAAGTTTATAAAAAGATGTCTGCTAGGGGCTTTATGAGTGGTGTTTGACGTTGATTAAGACATTTAAAGTACACGAGTTAGGTAGTTGGACCAAGAAGAAGGTTAGAGAGTTTATTTCTTCAAGTTTTGATTCAAGAGACTAATCTTATTAAAATTTCAGACTCGTTTGTTCACTCCCTTTGGGGTAATGCTCTTTGTGACTGGAGCTTTACCCCTACAGTGAGTATTAACATGTGAGCTTCTTTCGATTTGGTGTGATGTCAAATAAACTTATTTGTTCTATTTCTTTGGTCCAAGTTATCATGGTGTTTGTCTTTTGTGTGCGTATGTGTGTGTGGGTGGGTGGGAGAGGGGTTAATGTTTATTTAAAATACTCCGCACACATCTATCCTTTGGGTGAGGTGCTGTGTGTTATAAGTGATTTTAATTCTGTGTGCTCTAGGTTTGAGATAAAAAAGTTGGATGGTTTGATTCATCCCACTGATATTTTTGATCATTCTTAGATATTCTTATCAGTTGTGGGTCTAAAGAGTTTCAGATTTAATAAGCATTGGTTTGTTCATATTGGCCTTTCTAAGGTGGTACTTGTTTGTTAGACCAAATAATACTCTTTGGGTTAGAAATCTTTGTGTGATGTTTGATTAGTTTTACCGTTTTGCTTCCCTACCCCAAAGTTTTTTCTTCTTTTTTGTTACCCTAATCCCTAAAGTTGAGTTTCATACACATTCGAGGGATTTCCATCTTATTTCTTTAGTGTGTTTTATTTTTAAGCTTATTACCAATGTTTTGGCAGCCACACTAGCTATTTTGATGGATAAACTGGTTTTCTCTAATTAATCTATATTTTTAAGGGGAGGATATTGGTTGATGGAGGTGGTTGTTTTCAATGAGTTGCCATACATTGTTAAAAAAAAAAAAAACCTAGTTTATTTTCTTGATGGATTCTGAGAAAGCATATGGTTCAATAAGTTGGAGTTTTCTAGATTATATTCTTGGTAGGTTTGATTTCTATGATAATTTGAGATCAAGGATGAGAGCATGTGTGTTTTCTAGTAATATTGGTGTGTTGGTTAATGGGTGTCATACTAGTTAGATTAATATTCAAAAGGGTGGTTGAAGCAAAGTGACCCTTTAGCATATTTTCTGTTTATGTTACTGGATATGGTTTGAGTTGTTTATTTAGAAAAGCACCAGAGCTCAATCTTTATTCTAGAGGAAGTTCTAAGATATCCTGATTTAAAAAAGAATAAGAAGAAAAGGAAAATACCCTAGATTCACCCTTTTAAACTGGAATTAATGTTTATTTAGAAAAGAATAAGAAGAAAAACATTAATGATATCTCAATTTTCTTCTTATCCTTCCTTAGATTTCCTCTTAAGGTTTGGAAAACTTAGTTGGAATTCAGAGGATATTCTTAAGGGGTGGGGTCAAAGGAGATTCTAAGATTACTTGGGCTAGTTGGTCAGAAATATGCGTAAAACCAAGGGGAGCGTTGGTTTTGGGGTTTCGAGATCTCTGTTTAGTTAACTTAGCTCTGCTAAGTAAATGTAGATGGAGGTTGTTCACATGTGGGATGAGTCTATGGGTGGATAGCATATATGTCAGATATGAACTCGTTAGAGTTTACTCTTTCTTGGGGGGGGGGGGGGGGGGGGATGAGGTAATCCTCTTATTCTAAGTGATATGATCATATTGATTGGTTTATGGATGGCCTTCAAATGAGAGTGGGAAATAACCTTTAAACATCATTTTGGAATGACCCTTGGGTGGATTCTATTTCTCTTAGGGTTAGGTTTCCGAGGCTTTATAGTGTCTTAAGTAAGATTAGTAAGTATGTTATCGAGGTTTGGACCTTGGTGGATGAGGTGCTTCATTGGGGTCTTAGATGGAGGACGTTTAGTTTATGTGTATGAGCAGAAGATGGTCAATAATTATTTACTCTTTTCTCGAGAAGTGATTCCATCTCAAGATCCTGACTGGTGGTGGTGGAAACATGCCAAAGGTGGAGTGCTTTTGGTTGTATTGACCTATTCTTATCTTGTTGACTAACCCTCTTATCTACCTATCATTCTTCGATAGGGGATTCTAGGGGTGGACATTAGTTCGGGCCGGTTCGGGTTCAGACCCAAAACCCCAAATCGGCCCAACCCTCGGGCGAGAGAACATGGCCCAATTCAGTCTGTCTGAGACTTCGGGTTTCTCGGGTTCAGTTACAGAGGTCGGACATTGTTGGGCCCAATCCAATTTTTTGTTAAGTATTAGGCCATAATGGGCCATATTTAAAACATTTCAAATACTTTTTTTACATACCTATTTTTTTTTGGTTTATTATTAGATAGGCTTAATATCGGGACTAAATACTTGATTGTTTTTATAAAAAAAATTGAATAATTTAAAGTCATTAATCCCTTTAAATATGTGCTGAATCATGAGTTAATTAGAACTCATTCATTTTTCAGTTTAAAATTGAACTAAATTCTTATATAGCATAAGTTATCCAAGAACCATATAAAATATTAGTTTTTGAGCTTATAATATTTGCTCAAATTTAATTCAACCGGTATAACTTTAATATTACAACACAACCAATCACAATTATTCAATTTCTTTTTCTCCAATTTCTTTTTCATTCCTGCAACATACATATTCAGCAAGAAATTAATCAACATAGTGCAATTAAAAGAAATTAATTAGCAAAAAAGAAGGATCCAATTCCCCTATATAAATTATAAACTGAGAACATTTTCTTAAATTAATTAGCAATACCTGATCAGCAACTCCAGTAGGGAATTTCCAGGATCCAGTTCCCTTAAAATATTAGTACCATAACTATCATGATTCTTTAAAATATACATGGAACCTTCGTACACATCATAGAAGATGATATTGGCACTAGGGAGCTCCTCAACAAACCTTTCAACAATGTATCTCATGAGAAATTTAAATTCAACGGCCCTGTCATTTATCAGTTCAACACATTCTCTATTTTGAATACCATACTCTCACATGTAGCGAGGAGCACAACCAATAGGAGCAAGTCCAGTCACCATTATTTTCATAACATTTAAGTTGTACAAGTTCTGTATCATTGCTGAAGTAATAAAGCAGTAAACAAAAGTAAGTATTTTTATAGGTTATATCATATCGTCTCCACAAGGATTAATACTACTGAATTATCGTTCGATAAGTTTCACATTTATGAGTTTAGGAATAGAATGAGTTTGTTTGTAAGGTGCGTGAATTTTCTGTCATTGATGGATGCTCCCTCTGGATACTCTTGCGCTTCAAGATACCTCATCCCCTCACGGTACCATGGCTTTTCTGCGTCAATGTCAAGTTCACAGCAATGTGCAGGTTCATCGAATCTTTCAATTGTTATCATAGGGGCTTAGTTGTCCCATCTGACCTTGAACATTGAAGACACGGTAGCCAAAGCATCGGCCAGCTGATATTTCTCAAAATTTTCCCTCTCATATTTTGCACCCCAAAATTTTGCACACCAAAATTTTTCCTCTCATATTTCTCAAAACATTGCAAGAAAAATCTCCAAGGGGCTCAAGATTGCTCAAGAGTTGGACAGTTAAGTTATCTCCTAAGGCAGTCAACCTCAAATTAGGGTTTTATGTTGCATTAAGGTCCTTGCATCCAAATGACCTCAAGTGCTCCCAAATGTCCTAATATGTTCTCAAGTTCATCCATGTAAAATTTCAAGCCTTGCAGAGGAAGTTTGCTCAGTCAATTGCTCAAAGGGCCCAAAAATCCGCTGTGCTAGGGCAAAAGTCAACTGTGGCGTATATACAGTCAAACTTCAAGATTTTTTGTCAAAATTCTCATTTTGAAGGATATTTCATCATTTGATCAAGGGTTGATCATGATTCATCAAGGATTGCTCAAAATTCATCAAGACTCAAAAGTTGCTAAATTAGGGTTTTGTAGGAAAAGTTAACTCAACTTTGACCAAGCATAACTTTCTCATACTTTATTAGAAATGATCCATCCAAAGCTAATTTTTAAGAGGATGCAATTTCCTACAATCCATCTTCACACCCAAAGATCAAGAAATGCACTCACAAAAAGTTACAAAATTGGACATTATAGGTCATTTTTGAAAGTCAACAAAAACACATTTTTTCCAAAGCTTATAACTTGAGCATGAAATATCAAAATGAGATGAGACAAAAGGGTTGGTTATAGGACATCCCAGGCTTTCTAAAAAGTCCAAGAACACTTCCAAAAGTTCAAAATTGAAGAAGTTATGCATTGTTGAAGTTGTTCATTTTTGCAAAATTGCCAAAAGT